GGGCTACCTGTTTTTTTTTTTTATGGTATATCAAAAAGTGTATATTTTTTAAATGTGATTGTTGGTACATTTTACCAGTTTTTACCATACTTTCAAAACAAAAATTAAAATAGGAAAATATGCAATATAAAAATAATTGAAGGCCAAATATGTTTTACTGAGAAAAAACAAGATTTGGTTTTAGAAAAGGTACATCTGTCTTTGGTTTTGAGACTTTAGTCTTTGCAACTTCAGGGATCTTATCTATGCACAATCAGCTTGTAACACTCCAAAGAGAAAGGAAAACTTGAAATCGCATCATATGACCCCTTTAAAGCTTTACCCGTTTCTGTTATATGCAACTACTTTTTTTTTTTAATTCAAGAAAATAACTTGTGGCTTAAGTATTTTATTTTTTATTTCATAGGTGAGCTGATGTGAGACGGCCTATGCTTCGTAAGTATTAAAATTTAGATTCTTTTTTTTTTGTAATATTGAGTATGTAGATAAACACAATTTTCCAATTGGTTTATTTCAGAACAGAGAAGCTGGCGAGTTACACTCGATATTGCACTTAAAGAACAGTCCAGCTTTGGAATGGCTTGAATTAATTGTTTATTTTCATTTTTTTGATTCAGTAGTGATGTTCTATAAGTGTGTTTTGTAGAAATGGAGCATTTTGTTTTATGGAGTACAATTTGTATTGTTCAAACATTATAGTCACAGTAAGATCTTAAAATCGTAAGATTTTAACCATGAAAATATATCATATTATTTTGATGAAAAAATCTAGTTCTAGAACTAAAGACTGGATTTCCAGCTTTTTGGCAGGTCTTATTTATCTATAAATGGACATGTGACTGATGAAATATACAGTCGGTTTATTGATGGCTGTGTTGGCTATGATGGCTTTAAGTTCTGAACAGCAAAACTTTATTTAGTAATTAAAAGGATTGACATTTGACCTCTGTTTGATTGTGATGTTTAACCCAGTGTTGTTTTTTGTGAGTGAAAATGTTCTTTCTAGTTCTGTTGGAACACACAATAAAAAGATCATCTTCAGATGTTGTGTAGGAGCTGTGGAAAAAAGGTTATTGTCAGAAGTGGGATTCGAACCCACGCCTCCAGGGGAGACTGCGACCTGAACGCAGCGCCTTAGACCGCTCGGCCATCCTGACTGTAATTACATGGTTATTACACACCATTATAGCTATTACAGTATTACGAACATACATTTCTTGGTGGTTTTAATTACATCTACACATCACTGGCTTCATTAATGTTATATTGTCCTATGTGGAATACAGCATTTTTAGCTAAACAGGACATACTCATGCATTTTTTGTAACAATGACTCATTGGCAATTATTGGATGGCAACATATCACAAGGTTTTAAATGTTTCAGATGAAACAAAATAATCGTCCACGAGGGGGCGCATGGCGGCTCAAACATACACTGAGCAACACTAATCTGGGGCCAGTTGCTTAAATTTAGCCTCTCTGTGTAGTCTGACCAACTAGCAGTTAACCAAGTCTAATCAGTCTTATTTTTCAGATTCAATTTAGAATAATCTACGTTTCTATGTAACTGAATTAAAGTTATAACCAGTCTTCAAAAAAAAAAACATTTTAAACTTGTCAGACCTTGTAGCTGTAAGACGGCTCTGGATGTTTGTCTTATTGAAGAGAGACATTTACTGTATATAATCGCTGTAATTTATACGTTTTAAAGATAGTTGCCTCAGGAATTACAAACCCCTGTGATTGGTCCATCCTAGTCATCAGCGAGAGGAGAGCTGAGATACATAATAAATATATAAATAAATTAAAAAAATTATCTCGAATATTTGATTCTGACTGGTAAATCGTCACATTGAGAGAAATAAATTTGTCTAAATTTCCCATGGTACAAATTAACAAAAGTTAAAAAGAGCTATCATACACTTAGAAGAAGATGTTAAATTGTCGTTATAGATTAGATAATTAAACACCGTAAACAAAATTTTTATTGAAGATTAATAATAATAATAATTATTATTAGATATTCAACTTTTTGTTGTTTTCTACAGTGCAATAGATCTTTTTTTCTTAGCGTAATCTTTAAGATACTCTTAAGAGTAAGATAAAAAAAAAATTTATCAACTCAAAACTATATTTATTTATTTGGTAGGTAGCATTATCACAAAAATACGACAGTCTGAGTATGTGATGATCGTGGTCAGGGGTTTATTTTTCAATAATGATCCTGAAAAAAAAAAAGCTTTTTAACGCTATTTGAGCATAAGAAACAACATTCATGGGGCAGTTCATTTCAGATTATGTTGCTGATTTGAAATATGTAATTTAATTTTGAGTTCATAGAGCAGTTTTTGAGATTTCAGGATTCCCCCATTCATCTCGTTTGAGCTGCCCGGAGGCGTTGCAAATATGGCCGACGAGTGAACAGACTTTCCTTGAAAGGGACTTTGACCATAGACATATAAATACCTAGACGCCTCATTGGCCGTTTCAATTTAGTTTATGATATATAATTTACCATACGCTAAAACTATATAAGAAAGAATGTAACATTTCTGGTTTCCTAGACTCGCAGCTAAATAGCGATATCGCTAGCTATTAATAGTCCGACTCCGACGGTCAATTACTGTCAAGTTGTGCCAACATAATGTTTTAATGACCAAATACAACCAGATCAGTGTCAGTCAACAACTTTTCAGTCTTACCTGTGAAAAGTAATTCCCCGAGACCTATTTTCAATTGTGCGGCGGTTTGTACAGCCCCAAGCAGCACACGACTGAGGCATTTTCTCGAGTCCACTTATGAGAATGATGGAAAAGATGCCCGCACCAAGATGGCGGCGACGTTGACGTACGATCCAGCGGCCAATGAGGCGTCTAGGTATTTTTATGTCTATGACTTTGACGACAGTAAAAAGAAAAGGAAAAAAGCGAAGCCACGCCTATTTAGGCCAGTTCTGTCCGTGTTGACGCCATTCTACTTATTCGAGCGGAGCGCACCACGTGACGTGTACCACATGTCATGCGTCATGTGACTGTGAGTGGTTCCTGCTACACGGGTAATGATCAGTAATCAGAAAGGACTGCTGTATCATGTCGGACTGTGCGCACTCATTTATTTCCTAGTCTAAAATATGGGTCCTGCGCGGGTTTGCGGAATCGCTGCTACTGGTTTGTTAACTTTCATACTGCTTCAGTGTGTATCATCAGCAGAGGGGTCGGATGACAGCCCATGGTACCAGGATCTGTGCAGGTGAGATCTTAAATAAATAATCAAACATAATGCTAATCATTGCTGGCAAACCCTTATGGATAACATACAAACAGTGGTTTAGAAAGAATTGTATGTGTTTAAATATGATCTGGTCTGTTTTATATATTTGAATGATAGTTGTGGCCCTTTAGCCTGGATGCATTATGTACCTGGACCTAATAAAACCATAACAGATACTTTGTCTCACCTGAGACAAAGAAATGCATTCATTTAGGCACTGAGCTGGTTTTGCGAATGGATATTGTCAGCTGAAATTGTGTGTGTCTCTCTTTTTGTATGTATGAAGTTACAAATGGGAGGCCATTGACCAAGACAGCAATGTGACATACACTTTGAAGCTCTGTGATTCTTCTCCGGAAACAGAATGTGGAAAAGGAAGCGCGGTCTGTGCCCACAAGCTGAAGACTGACCAGTTCCAGTCAGTGGGTAAGAGCAATGCATCGATGTGCCAATGTTGCATGATGTACACCCAAACTGCAACAGCAATGTTCATTAAAACAAAATCATAACCTGTACTACTCCCAAGCTGAAGACTGACCAGTTCCAGTCAGTGGGTAAGAGCAATGCATCGATGTGCCAACAACAGCAATGTTCATTAAAACAAAATCATAAAAACCTGTACTACTTTTTTTTTCTAATTTAGCATACATTTTATGTTTAATAATATTCATTTTGTCAATGTTTTTTCTAAATATTCAGCTTTCTGTCACGGGATAATGATTACCAGTTATACTGTATGTTGATTAGAAAATTGATTGTTTGTTTGATTATTTGATTAATTAGGATAGACAATGACACTAACTGTGAGAGTAGCACTGCTTTCACCATCACCAACATTGTATAAGAAAACAATTCTCAGATTCTCTAAATTCTCATTGATTTGTTGGTTATTATGGTGCATGTTTGCCAATTTACATTGCATTTTGCATTATTAAATAATGAGACAATGCAGTCTTAATGGTCCTAAAGTAGATTTTATTTTATTTATGCAATATGTATGATTTCTTAAAAACAGTAATAATGTTAAATTAAATAACTTTATTTTAAAATGTAATGTATTCCTGTGATGCCAGTCTTCAGTGTCACATGATCCTTCAGAAATCATTCTAATATGCTGATTTGTTGCTCAAGAAACATTTCTTATTATGATTCATATTATGAATGTTGAAAACATTTGTTCTGCTTAATAGTTTTATGGAAACAATGATACATTTTTTTAGGGTTCTTTGACGAATGGAACGTTCAAAAGAACAGCCTTTATTTGAAATCGAAATCTTTATAGATGATAAAATAATAAATGTCTTTACTGACACTTGTGATCCATTTAATGCTTGCTGAATAAAAGCAAGCATTAAATGGATCAATTTAAAATCCTTAAAAAATACTGAATGAAAAATTTTGATTGATAGTGTTAGTGTATATATTTGAATATATTGTATAAAAATATATAAACTTTCTGTTTTTCTTAAAAGTTTAGGGTGAGATGGAAAAGATGCCCGCACCAAGATGGCGGCGACGTTGACGTACGATCCAGCGGCCAATGAGGCGTCTAGGTATTTTTATGTCTATGACTTTGACGACAGTAAAAAGAAAAGGAAAAAAGCGAAGCCACGCCTATTTAGGCCAGTTCTGTCCGTGTTGACGCCATTCTACTTATTCGAGCGGAGCGCACCACGTGACGTGTACCACATGTCATGCGTCATGTGACTGTGAGTGGTTCCTGCTACACGGGTAATGATCAGTAATCAGAAAGGACTGCTGTATCATGTCGGACTGTGCGCACTCATTTATTTCCTAGTCTAAAATATGGGTCCTGCGCGGGTTTGCGGAATCGCTGCTACTGGTTTGTTAACTTTCATACTGCTTCAGTGTGTATCATCAGCAGAGGGGTCGGATGACAGCCCATGGTACCAGGATCTGTGCAGGTGAGATCTTAAATAAATAATCAAACATAATGCTAATCATTGCTGGCAAACCCTTATGGATAACATACAAACAGTGGTTTAGAAAGAATTGTATGTGTTTAAATATGATCTGGTCTGTTTTATATATTTGAATGATAGTTGTGGCCCTTTAGCCTGGATGCATTATGTACCTGGACCTAATAAAACCATAACAGATACTTTGTCTCACCTGAGACAAAGAAATGCATTCATTTAGGCACTGAGCTGGTTTTGCGAATGGATATTGTCAGCTGAAATTGTGTGTGTCTCTCTTTTTGTATGTATGAAGTTACAAATGGGAGGCCATTGACCAAGACAGCAATGTGACATACACTTTGAAGCTCTGTGATTCTTCTCCGGAAACAGAATGTGGAAAAGGAAGCGCGGTCTGTGCCCACAAGCTGAAGACTGACCAGTTCCAGTCAGTGGGTAAGAGCAATGCATCGATGTGCCAACAACAGCAATGTTCATTAAAACAAAATCATAAAAACCTGTACTACTTTTTTTTTCTAATTTAGCATACATTTTATGTTTAATAATATTCATTTTGTCAATGTTTTTTCTAAATATTCAGCTTTCTGTCACGGGATAATGATTACCAGTTATACTGTATGTTGATTAGAAAATTGATTGTTTGTTTGATTATTTGATTAATTAGGATAGACAATGACACTAACTGTGAGAGTAGCACTGCTTTCACCATCACCAACATTGTATAAGAAAACAATTCTCAGATTCTCTAAATTCTCATTGATTTGTTGGTTATTATGGTGCATGTTTGCCAATTTACATTGCATTATTAAATAATGAGACAATGCAGTCTTAATGGTCCTAAAGTAGATTTTATTTTATTTATGCAATATGTATGATTTCTTAAAAACAGTAATAATGTTAAATTAAATAACTTTATTTTAAAATGTAATGTATTCCTGTGATGCCAGTCTTCAGTGTCACATGATCCTTCAGAAATCATTCTAATATGCTGATTTGTTGCTCAAGAAACATTTCTTATTATGATTCATATTATGAATGTTGAAAACATTTGTTCTGCTTAATAGTTTTATGGAAACAATGATACATTTTTTTAGGGTTCTTTGACGAATGGAACGTTCAAAAGAACAGCCTTTATTTGAAATCGAAATCTTTATAGATGATAAAATAATAAATGTCTTTACTGACACTTGTGATCCATTTAATGCTTGCTGAATAAAAGTATTAAATCCTTAAAAAATACTGAATGAAAAATTTTGATTGATAGTGTTAGTGTATATATTTGAATATATTGTATAAAAATATATAAACTTTCTGTTTTTCTTAAAAGTTTAGGGTGAAATGTGACATTAACATGTTTTCATGCAAGATTCACTCTTTAATTGTTTAGGTCATGTGATTGATACCATTTCCTATTGATTCAAGTCACCCCAAACGCTCGGTTGGTCAAAGAAAGAAATTATTGTTTTTTTTGTTTTTTGCTTAGTCTGGATATTCAGGTTAAACATTAAAACTTTTTATAGGAAGTAAGTATGCTAAATACTTCATGTTTTGTCTTCGCAGTAGATAACAACCCTGCAACTCAGGGCTGTTATATGGTCATTGCTCTCATAAGCGAGAGCTGCATGACAGACAGAGTGCTTGTTTATTTGGTCTTATCCAACTAGTCAGCTGACCTCCATATGACACAAACCTATCAACTGAACACTCTGACCAATAGTGGCTCTGAGGTAACTGTTAGCCCTAGATTTAAATAAAGGGATCCATTTCACTTGTTTTCAGAACAAACACTGGAGATATTGCATCACAAACCATTTGATCATATGACAAAATAAGGCAACTTGCAAATGTTGATCATGCTGATAGGATCTGTGTGCTTATATTCATAATGAGCGGCTTTCAGCACTGTTACATAGAGTACAGAAGTTATTTTGTACCGTAGTAAGAAAAACATCCAAACACCATTGTGTAATGTCTATTTATGTAGTGTTTCATGCTGTGTTGATTGTGGTAATTATAGTCGTACTGATTCTCAGTGTCACACACTTTGGTGGTTGGTGTGTATCCGTTATGGGGCTTTCCGGGCCAGTAATGTGTGCTTCACACACAATAGTGTTGATGCTTCTGAAAGTGTTTGCATTCATTTTAGTGTGTATACACTCGCTTGCATATCCTGGTATTCTTTATCTTGTGTTCCTGCAGTCCTATCTTTGTGTTTCACAGTAAGTAGGTCAAAGTTATCTAGCAGCAGGTGCAGTAGTACAAAGTGACAGTATTTAAAATGGCAGTAGTTAAAATTTTCAGGCTCCACCATGTGCATAAATCATAAATGTCCTATCACATCAACTATATTTGCCGTCTTAATAAAAGGTAAAAGCATTCTCGAAACATTTAACACATCCTGAACAGAGCAGTTGAATGAAAAACAGAATAGCGTTTTACTAGACTACTTTCTAGTTATGTTTTCAGTATGCAGTCAGTGTGCACACTGTGTGCAATATGCATTTTATTTAAATGCTCGGAAAACAATTGCCAAAATTTGTTGTGTAAAAGCAGATGTATCCCACAATGCAATGAGCTTGACATGACCTTCCATATCGAGTATCATGAATGAACCAGAAATAATGTCACCTGCAATTTTGGTTTTTCTTGATTCATTATTTGATGACTGCAATAAGATCATTTTACAGTCATACGTGCACATATATGTGAGAATTTTTTCTTTATTAATATTTTACTAAAGTAATTGAGTGGCACACACTAAATTAATATAAAACAACAAATTGAGGTCAAGTCATGACAATGTAGTGCACTACGTTTTTTTAAGCAGTTTAAAAAAAAAATAATAGTATGCAGTATAATATTGTGCAGTACACTAGTATTCTTTTTCTCAAAACAACAAATTGAGGTCAAGTCATGACAATGTAGTGCACTACGTTTTTTTAAGCAGTTTAAAAAAAAAAAATAGTATGCAGTATAATATTGTGCAGTACACTAGTATTCTTTTTCTCCACACATGGCATGTCAAATGTTTTCCAGCGGCCTAAAATGTCAGCTGTAGTTTCTCTGGCTCCAGTTGGCATGTTTTTAGAACCTTTTTTCACATTGGTGCGTTTTTATTTGGTCATCTTCTCATGCTATTTGTTCCCATGGGTTGTGCACTGCTAGACATTTGGCCTATGAATTTCTAACCTCTCCAGATCACATGCTGTAATATTTTTGCTTTGTTGGGTGGCACAGAGACATTTACTGATTTGTATGTGCTGGTAAACTTTAGTTGACTTTGGTTACTTTGAATACAGGCAAGCAAACGTATTATGGCTGTTGTTCTTGTGCTCGACATAGCTGTGCATTGACAAATGACATTTGACTTTATTTCTATTACTAAAGTCCAGCTGCATATAGAGTGTGTTAGTTTATTGCAGTAACATTCAGCATTTGTTGTGTTACCAGCTTGCTGAAAAAAAAAGCTTGTGTGTTGCTCTGAGTCAGACACACTGCTGTGTTCAAACCAGGTCTTTTTTCCCCATAGGTGAGCTCTCCTTGCGGAAGGTCTCGCCTGCTGTGCTTGATTTCAACAGCTCGAGGAAATGCGACGACAAGAGCAGCAACATTCAGAGCAGCATCACCTTTCAATGCGGCAAAACAATGGTGAGCTTTCCTCCCCAGCATGCACTGTTAGTCAGTGATCCCTGTGAACAGAGTGTGACATTTGCAAGGCTATTTGTTTCCTTCCACCTTTGTTTCCTTCCACCAATGCACAGGAAGAAATGACTTTGATGGAGCAATGATATAATATTGAGGCAAAGTGAAAGTAGGGGTGGCTGATCTATCTATCTAAATGTGTTGAAATGTACCCCTAAATATGGGTTACTTTTCCTAAATGCATATTTAATTTTACTGCAGTTCCTCTGTGAAGGACAAAAAATTAAGGCCGTTTTAATGCAAAATTAGTGTTTACTTAATTTTAGTAATTTAATAAAAAAAATATATATGTATATTTATATGCAAACATTTATTTTTCACATTTACATTTTCATTATTTCCAATAATTTTCACACCATGGATGACATCTGATTTTTTTTTTCTTTACAGGGCACACCTGAGTTTGTTACTGTCTCTGAGTGTGTGCATTACTTTGAATGGAGGACGTATGCCGCCTGCAGACGTGAGAAATTTAGACCACATAAGGAGGTGAGTAGAGGTGATGAGACGTGATGACATTTCTGTTAGAGCGTCAACGTGGAGGAAGGTGTGAATGTTTAAGTGTGTGTGTTTGGCTGTTTCAGTTGTTCTCAGTGTGAGAAAAAATTCAACTCATCAGCCTTGAACAAAACATTTTGACAGTGTGAAATTGTGAATTTCTAAATAAACTTGAATAATGCAAAATCTGCATAAAGAATGATTAACAATAAAAAAAAATGTAACTTGTAATAATCAGCGCAGTGTTTATTTAATTATCTACTGGTTTTGGAATAAAATATTAGTTTGTTTAGTTTTGCAAATTTGAGGGAAACAACTTTTTTTCCTATTATTCTATTATTATGCTAATCCAAGCGCCAGTAACATTTTCACAAAGTGTAAAAATTTTTTTGCCTATTTTGCCTAATATCTTATTTATGCTACAACAAACAGGAAATGGCTTAAGCCTCTGGGAGTTTTTTTTTTTTTTTTTTTGTGAACACCACTCAATGCATTATTTGCTTATCTCTTTTTAAAGGTCCCCTGCTATGTCTTTGACTCGGATGGAAAGAAGCATGACCTCAACCCATTGATAAAACTCTCAGATGGCTACCTGGTTGACGACCCAGATGATGAAATTGATTTCTACATTAATATATGCAGAAGTCTAAGTGAGTTTCTGTAAACTCTTGTTTTTTTTTTTTGGACACAGTGTATGGGCTTTTTAAGAGTTTGCTGCCCCGTCAACAAACATTTTGATTACATACAGTAGCTGCTTTATCACACAAAACAATCTGCAAAGCGTCCGAGCAGGTTATTATTTAAACAACTAAAGCATTTGGAAGTGCAACGCAAATAACTTGGATGATGTTTGTCCGTCCAGACCGTGCTGGAAACCTGTGTCCCGAGGGATCTGCAGCCTGTCTCACCTCTGGCGAAGGTTCCTTCGATATGGGTCAGCCTGTTCATCAGCTTGAGCTGCTCTCAAATGACAAGTATGTGCTAATTTAATAGCTAATTAGTTATTTGGCTGATGCTTTTACAATACCATTCAAAAGTTTGCGATTGGTACGTTTATGCTCGCCAACAGTAATAATGTGAAACATTATTATAATATCAAATAATTGTTTTCTATTTTAATATATTTTAAAATGTAACTTACTCCTGTGATGCAAAGCCGAATTTTTAGCAGCCATTACTTCAGTGTCAGATGATCCTTCAGAAATCATTGCAATATGCAGATTTGGTGCTCAAGAAACACTTACTATCAACGTAGAAAACTGGAGCAGCAGCATAACTGATACTCTCTTTTTCAGACTAAGGCTGCGGTACGAGGGAGTCAAAGAAAGCCCAGCCTTCTGTAATGGCCACAGTCCAGCAGTGACGATTACATTCATTTGTCCATCCGCAAGGCAGGCGGTAAGAAGATGCCTAGTGTTTAATTTCATTGCAGTATACCTACTATACTCCGTCATCTCACAGTTTTCTCAATGGTTTATCAGGGAAGTAACCCTAAGATGATCAGCAACTTGAACTGTCGGTATGAGTTTGAGTGGGTGACTGAGTACGCCTGCCACAGAGATTACCTGGAGAGTCAAAGCTGCACACTGACCAGCAAACAGCATGACATCTCCATTGACCTTACTCCCCTGACACACAACCGTGAGTTAACTCTATTAGTTTAGTAAGAGGCAATGATGTAAATGTTGTTTCTGTGGAAAGAATGATGTGATGATGGATTTTTATATGGTGTTTAATGAGTAACTGATTAACTGAATAAACCATAGATATCCCAGTGTCATTGTACAGTGGGAATATTAAAAGTCATTTATGTTAATTGAAATAAAATAAAATATTAGATACATTTTAAATGAAAATTTAAGTGATAATGTAACATTTTGCCAACTAACTGAAATAAAATTAATTATTTTTTTTTGAAGTACTAAAATTACATACTAAAATGTAATTAAATTTAAATACTAAAGTAACAGTAATACCATGGCATTGACGCATATTCATTTACTGTGGTATTTACATGTTACTTCATTGAACTTCAGAGATGACCATGGTAAAACGTCTAAAAACGTCGTAATGGTACAGTACCATGTCCAAAAAAAAAAAAAACATGGTATTTCCATGGTTCTTCTCAGTAAAAAAAAAATGCAAAGCAAGACATTGGCATGGTACTTGGTTGAAATAACATGGTGTTTCCATCATACTCTTTTGTTTTGGTATTTGGATAAATCACACAGCAGTTTGTTAGATATAGAGTTTGTTTTTCCCACTGAAGGCAAACTAGAACAAGAACATTGAGAACAAGTATACTAAAACTCACTGTAAACATCATGAAACATGCATTAAGGTGTTCCCAGGACTTCATACAGTTTAGCAAAAACACAAAACCCTTATTCAATAACAAGTACGTACAGTTGTGGTTCATCCTTGATGTGATCGAGTATTATATTTATATTACAAATATAATACTTTACCATTCTTCATATTTTTTTATCCTTAGCTTCAGGCACACCCTATATGGCTGAGGCCAAAAATGGCAATGACACCTATATCTTCTATCTGAACGTGTGTGAGAAGACCAATGCTGGACAGTGTGGTGATGACAAAGGTTATGTGTCTGCCTGCCAAGTCAAGGACACGGGTGGTGTGAAGAAGATTGCTGGGAGATTCCAGAACCAAACTCTGAGGTTCGCCTTAGCTTGTGTTACTGATTCACCCTTAAATGCAGTGAAAATGTAAATTGTTGAGCAGTCGTAATCCTTTTCTTTTATATCTTAAGGTATTCAGATGGTGATCTCACTCTAATCTACCCAGATGGCAGCAGATGCAGCACTGGATTCCAGCGCATGACCATCATTAACTTTGAGTGCAATGCAACGGCTGGTGAGTGACACAATGACTCATCTCATAGTAGAGCTGCACGATTAATCGTTATAAGATCGCGATCTTGATTCAGACACCCACGCGATCTCATTTCTAAATGACAACCGAGTCTATTAAACCTTTGACAAAGTCTTACCGGATCATTCAAATCTTTGTTCGCACTGCCGCTGACACAGAGAGAGCAGTTACTTACCATGTTTGGTTAAGAAGCATCTTCACAAACTGTCTTTTCAACTACACAGTATTATTTCTGTCTTACAGTCATTCATATTATCACAGAAATACTGGGGTGTAAGTTTATAGTTCAGATATAAACATTGATGTCTATGGCAGAAATCAAAATAGAGCAAATCCCCTTTTGAAAGTAACTACGGTTCAAATAACATTTATGTCGATTGCATTGTTTCGCCACTAGGTAGTGAAAAGTGACTTAAAAATGTATTTGTCATTGAATGAATTATTCATTCAAGAGAATTGTTCAAAAATGCCGATTCATCCAGTAATGAAACAAGTGAAATAGGTTTATGAGTGAGTCGTTGAATCATTGATTCAAACAACTTTTTCATAACATCAGTATTAAAAATTGGTGTATTAAATATATTTTAATATTTTTAAAGAAGTCTCTTCTGATCACAAAGCCTGCATTTATTTGATCCAAAGTACAGCAAAAACAGTAACATTTTGAAATATTTTTACAATTTAAAATAACTGCGTTCTATTTGAATATATTTTAAAATGTAATTTATTCCTGTAATCTCAAAGCTACATTTTTAGCATCATTACGCCAGTCTATAAGTGTCACATGATCCTTCAGAAATCATTCTAATATTCTGATTTGCTGTTCAAAAAAAACATTTATTATTATGTTGAAAACAGTTGAGTAGATTTTTTTCAGGTTTCTTTGATAGAAAGTTCAGAAGAACAGCATTTATCTGAAATAGAAATCTTTTGTAATATTATAAATGTCTTTATCGTACTTTTAAGATCAATTTAAAGGATCCTTGCTAAATAAAAGTATTAATTTATATATTGTCTTTCCAAAAGAAAGAAAGAAAGAAATCACTGACTCAAAGCTTTTGAATGGAATAGTGTATAATGTTACAAAAGCTTATTTCAGATAAATGCTGATCTTTCTATTCATCAAAGAATCCTGAAAAATGTACTCAAGTGTTTGAAATATTGATCAAAATAATAATAAAAAAATGTTTCTTGAACAGCAATCACCATATCAGAATTATTTCTGAAGGATCATGTGACTGGAGTAATGATGCTGAAAATTCAGCTTTGATCACAGGAATAAATTACATTTTGAAATATATTCAAATAGAAAGCAGTTATTTTAAATTGTAAAAATATTTCGCAATATTACTACTTTTGCTGTATTTTGGATCAAATAAATGCAGGCTTGGTGAGCA